CAAAAGTATTCATTCGATAATGTTTTCAGGTATAGGGGACATGAATACCTCATAAGGGAGTTGGTGACATACCTAAATGGACCATGGCTTATTTGACTCATTGTTCTCTCCTGTAGCCATCTAAGGCCATCCAAACTCTGGGGTGTCTCTCAGGGTTGCCATGTATTAAGGGTACAATCAGCCCCAGTGTCCACAATGGCCATAACATGCTGCTTACTTCTTGGTGACCAGAAAATATTGAGCTCTATCTGGGGCCTCTGGTCACCAACCAGAGCCCACACACAGAGGCAACCTTGGCCAGACCACAAATCCTTAGGAGTCAGGGCTATCCATCCTTGATAGGTACTGGCCCTTGCTTTGATGGTATTCTCCTATTCTCTAAGGGGTGCCAATGGCATGGATCCAACTTGTTGTTTAGTGGGAGAGCTCCTTCCACAGAGACACCAAGACAGCATTAGGCTACTGATTCTTTCCTTAGCTATTCCTGCCAACAAAAATCATTTCACATTTGCTTTTGGGTTACCTGGACAGGGCCTTGCCACCTTCTGTGTCATTCTCTACTTTCTGGTTGTGGTTTAACTGTTTTTCCTATTCCCTTGGTCACAAAATGCACCTGGTCATGTCCCTTTTCACTTTCTCCCAAATCAGCAGTGGCTTCTCCCACATCATACACTTCCTCTCCCACAAGGGGGCTAAGGTGGAAGATAGGGGGCTCGTGCCATTCCCGAGGTGCACCTGCAGTGATGTGTTTTCACTCCAGCAGTGAGTACTGCCTTGTCAGGGCCTTCAAGCATATATCACCTGTTTAATTCCTAACTCCTGGAGGAAGCTTTGGGCCTCTTCTAAAGCTCTCCAGGCTCACACCTGGCCTGGAAAATCTTCTTCAATAGGCCATGCCTCCCTCACAGCCATAATCATCCAATCCATGAGACTATGATTACCTTGGGTCTGGTGGGCATTATGCAACCTCTGCCGGAGGGCTGGATGAGTGGTTGTTACACATTTTTTCTACATTGGCCACTAGGGGAATTTTGTCCTTACATATCCCATAAGCCTACCATCCAAGTCAGGAGACTTTCCCTTGGCAACTGTTTAAAAAACCTTCACTATATGCACAAGTTCAGCTGTCCTGTATTCTCACACTGCTAGTGTACAACCCTGCATTGCTGAAGGTATGCATGCCATTTAAGTAGAGCAGGAGATCATGCAACTGCTCAGTTAGGGCACGTGAACATCCCGTCTATCCAACCCTTTACGCAGGCGCCAGTATGAACAGTAAGCGGCAAGATTATAGGTTAAGAGCTCTACCTACCAGAGAATGGCTTTTACCACCCACACCTTGAACTGGAATTTAAAGATTTCCTGAATGGGCTGTCCATTGCTTCCTGGGACCACATTTTGCACCTTTTGTCATTCTCTGAATTAAAGGTCTAGTTTAAAATGAAGAAAACCCTCCTGTGTCTTCTTCCTCATCTGAGAGGTCTTCTACATGCTCATCTGATTCACTAGCTGGCTCCCACTGGTTCCAGCTTTCGGGATAACATTCTTGCCTAGCTATTGCAGCCTGAGTGCGTGGATGTCTCAGGCTCTCCCCTCCCAGGTGTGCAAAGTGGCCACTAAGGTTTCAATCTGTGCCTCTTGGGTTTCAATTTTTTCTGCTAAATTTGTTGCCAAGAGTGCAGCTGGCATTCTCATATCTCTTTCTAAGTGTAACTCTTGTTTTAGACACCTTACTTTTGCTTAAGCTGCTAATCGGGCAACAATGGCCAATGGCACAGCCCACAGTAATGGCCATCCCACTGCCGCCGCAGCTCAGCAGCCTTCCCTACCACAGTGAGTTACGTGGCTCTCTGGTAATAGGCGTTCCAGACCTCCTGGTGTATCTTCGGGGCATCCCCACCCTCCTGAGGTGGTCCCCACAGGTCATGGAGGGCCACCCCGGGATATCCCAACTGCTGCTCATTCGCTTTGCCCATCCTTTGATCCCCTGGCCCCTCCTGGCTGGCTCGCCAATTGTTCTACTTGGGGGAGGTGTAAGTGAACCAACCCCCCAAAACAAAAGGGGTTGTGATGAGACCAAAGAGAGAGGCTGACAAATCCAGCTTGAATTCAAAAGAGGTTTTTTGAGGGCATGTCTCCTATAGAAGCTTGCCCTGAGGAACCACAGGACACACAGATGTCCCATCAATTTGTGTCCAGCAAGGCTAATTTACAGAGGCAAGGAAGAAGGGCTTATGTGCAAGGCAGCCACGTGTAAGGACCATGGAGTAGGGGCTGACCTCTGACTTATCCCTCTAATAGGGTAAGGGGTCCTGCTCCAGGGAACAATATTGTTTCCAGCAGGACATTATACTATCTAAGGAGTGTCTGCATGTCAAAGAAACGGAAAGTAAGAGTGATTCATTGGTCATCATGGCAGATTTGGCAAGATGGTGTTATTACTGCCCACTGACAAAACTTTTCAAAGGGCTTTCTTCATCTCTTATTTGAGTGCTTGTAAGATTGTAGGGTACAGGGTTAGATATCTGGAAACTTAAATAATGATGAGGGCTTGCCCTGCCTTCAGTTAAGGTAGAAGATTCTTCAGTCAAAAAGATCTTTGTTTTGATATACACTTTCCCAGTGTAACCACCAGTTTTTACCAGTTTTTGCTTTGAAGTTAAGGCAGTTTGCATAGAATACCCTTGAAATTCCTCATCCAGCACCCAAAGGAAGGTGTATGGGACTGGTGGACAGTCCTGGGCAATTAGAAGAACAACACAGATGACATTCTGGTTTTCTTGCAAGCCTAGGTATAAAGAACAGCTGCTAAAAAAGATAAACATACCTTGATCAAAAGAGCCCATTCATTTACATAATAACTGTGTTAGTCTTTTGTGTTGTGAGAGCAGTTTCTTGGAGAGGACATCTGGAACACATATCAGCTGGTCCGATGCCACTAGATTCAGAAATAATTATAATAAATTTTAAAACACTGGACAAACTCCAATTACGACAAAATAGCTTGTACCAGACTAAGCTCACGGGGCCGCCTCGTAGACCGGCCCTGCGGCTCCAGCTCCCCCACGATCCGCTTTTTACGAAGCACTGGCGCACATTGCACGGGCGCACTACTGCCGGAGCCTTGGCCACGCATGCGCGGTGACTGAAGGATGGTGTCGGTACCTTTTGCGGTTGACACTGGAAATGACAAAAGCTTACGGGTGTGGGAGCTGAGCTCTGGACCCATGACTCAGGTCTTGCGTGTGAGCTGGGCCAAGATAGAAGGGGTGGGGGGGCGGGGATGGGGAAAGCCGCTCCTCTGGTGACCAGGACACCAGGAGTCCTGCCTTAGCCCTCACCCGCCTTGTAGTGTCCGCTGAGAGGAGTCTTTTTCTGGAGCGAACCTCAGCAATTCACTGGTCCCGGCAGATTTTTGAGAGGAAGCTCTCAACGGCACGTGTTGCCTTCTAGTGCTTCTCAAATCCTAGGATTTCAGAGGAAAACACAATTGTTCATAAAATAAGTGTTTTGAGTTGCATGCTCTCCACAGTTACCTGGGGAATATGAGGTGATGGGCAGTTTTTCAGGACGGGAAACTTCATGTGCTGTACTTGGCGTGGGACCACCCCATAGCATTCTCTGTTCATAGTGTTCTCCCAGTTTGGCTTTCCGTATTCAGTCCAAGCCTTCCCAAATGCTGCAGTGGCCTGTCCTGGTTTCTATGCCATCATCAAGTTTTACTCAGCAAGGGCTGCCCACGAGCCCAAAAGGCATGTGATCAGAAGCAGCATTTTGAGAAATCTCCAGTGTTGGTGGGTCCAATTCCTAGCTCCACTGGGATGAAGTGCTGAGTTCAATAATTCATAGGCTAGCATTTGCACAGCTCTCTGGTTTACAGAATGCTTTTAGCTGCATTGCTACACTGATCCTCTGGTTCTCCCTCCACCCTTTTTTTTAGATGAAGAAACTTGAACTCGGGATGGTTAAGTAACTTAGTTAAGGTTCATGACAATAACTGGAAACTAGAAGTCAAACCCAAATATACTGATGATACACCCCATGCCATTTTATGCTACCCCTTAAGAAATCTTCACAAGAGATGTCCTATGATTACTATCATGTGGATTTAGAACGTGTGAGCTTGACAACCTCTTTCATCGGTTGTAACATAAAGGAAGCTTCATAGTCATAGTCATCACTCTCAAAGTGTGTATTCAGAACTGCCTTCAGTTCGCAGAAAAGTTAAAAAGTTCTCTAATACATTGTAGAAACCTTACTCCATATTGTGCCATCCAATTTCACTTTCCCAGAGCTCCAGAATTACATTTTATTATGCACCTCAATTCCACCACCAATTTGTCAAAGACCATTTCAATTCCTTTAAATAAATGAGTGAGGCTTAGATTTCGCAAACCTTTCACTTTATAATTGTATGATTCCATAAACCTTCTCTGATTGATCTTGATTTGGCTATTGGCTACTGACCTGACTGCCTATTCTTACCCATATTCCTTTCTTCCTTGATTTAACCTTGATTAAATTTGATGACTCTCCTCAGATGTGACTCCACTTCTGTACCCTGTTGAACACCCTTCAATACTGGCTTTATTCCCTGTGATTGCAATGATTACTTGTTAGACATTCTTTAATTTGAAGACTATAATCTGCTTGCTTCTATCCTGTGAAAGTTTCACATAGCCACTCAGATATTACAGATGGTACTGGAAAGATTACAAAACAATTACTTGGTATCAGTTATGATGCCAGACCCAGTGGCTTCCTTGGGAAACTGCACCACCTCCACCCTTACCTTCTCTTAACCAACAGCCACTATCCCTGGGCTGCCAGAAGCCAGGGCCACCTAGATGTGCAGCCCAAATCCTGTCTCTCTCAGAGGGAAGGGGGGTCTGGAGGGAGGTGTCTGCAGCCTTGGCTTGGGGAGGGAACACTTGGACTCCATGATTCTGAGAAAGGATTTGCTCAGGTGGTGTGGAGGCGATCTCAGCCTAAGCCTAATGTGTCATAAATGAAGGGTGGGACTAGGCAGGGGAGGGGCACGCAGTTGCTAAGGATATGTGAGCATCAGAGAGCTGTCATAATGGTTCTGCTCTGGCTTAAGGGAGCTGCTCTGGTCCTCTGGCTCATTGTGCCCTGGAGCCTTTGCTGCCATGTCCTGGCTGCGTTTCTGGGCCCCGTGGCTTCTTGTGTTGCTACCATTGTGGCTGCTGGTCCAGGCAGCTCAGCCTCCGGGTTGGGCCCTGGACCCTGTGCAGCTGACCCCCAGACCCCCAGGGCCAACCGAGTCCTGGTCTTCGGATCCCTCCAATGTCCCTCTTGAATTTCCCCATCCACGTCAACAACTGATGCATCCTGTGGTTCCTTTCTGGTACACAGGTTCAGCTGGAGAGCTGCCCCCAGGACCAGATCTTTGGGACAAGCCTGGCCAGCATGAAAGTCAGCCACAGGTGGTTCCAGTGGTAAGTTGGGACCAGAATCAGGTCCTAGATCTGCCTCCTTGACTCAAAACTGAGACTAAAACTGTAAATGTAGATCAGGCTGAACACCAGTCATTTGAAATACTTGTTCCACCTCTAGGTAGTGATAGTTCAAAACCAACAAGGTTTATTGTTTCACTTCCAAACTTGAAGAAAGATCTAGCTCAGTATCGACGGCTTACCAAAGTTCTTATTGGAACTCCAGGCTGATTTGCAAAGAAACATCTAAAACAATTGCAGGGTGATTATTTAGTTCCCAATAGGGATGTTGTCTATGCTAAGGAGAAGCTACCTGTAGAGTTTCTGGGTGGCCCATATCAACCTCCAGAGGTGCCTGTGGAAGTTGAAACTTTCTTCCAGAAAAGTGTCCCCATTCATCATGGACAGAAAGTTGAGGAGGCTGAATCTTTTTCTCCCCAGGTGGATTCCCAGGATCAGCCTCCAGAGCTCCCGGAGATGGATGAGAACTACAAATACCTGCAGGCAGCCCTGGCTGAGCCTTCCTTCACTCCTGAAGAGGCTGAGCCTCCAGTCCAGGAGGAAGCCCCAGCTCCATCTCCAGCGCGCTCTCAGGGGACACTTCCACATCCCGGGCAGGTTCCCAGTCAGCGTCCAAACCTGACTCAGGTCACAGCTGCACCTGGGGACCTGGACGTTTCCGTATCTCGGCAGCCAGAGCCTTCTGAGACGGGTTTTCCATCACCGGCTCAGAATTCAGTGGTGAACACCACCGCAAACAACATATGTGAGGTCTGTAGCTGCACAGATGAGATGCTGGCGTGCGTTGGACTCAGCCCAGAGCAGAAGCTCCAGAGTGTGCCCGTGCCAGAGCCCAACGCTCACAATGGCACCTTCACGATCTTGTAAGAACCGCCTCTCTTCATTTGTTCCCTGCATCCTGCCTGACCTGGCAGCATTTTCCTCAAGGACTTCCTGGCCCCTCATTTCCATACCCTGTGTTGACTGATTTTCTGTTTTTATCTTTTGTTAACTATTCCTTCTCTTCCTTTTCCTTCTTAATATTGTTCTCCCTTCTCCATTCTTTTACTTGTAATTGCCCTTATTCTTTTTCCTTACCTGCTTTTTTTAGTTCTGTCATTCAAGTCCTTTTCCTATCATTTTTAGTCCATCTTCTTAGCAGCATGTCCCTATCCTCATTTCACTGGTTAAGAGTAAAGATTCCGGAGCTAGACTGCCTGGTTTGAACCCAGGTCTGTCATTTATTAGCTTTGTGACTCAATTTCCTAATCTGTAAGTGGGGATTATGATAGTTACCATCCCTTTAGATTGTTGTGAGATTTAGATGAGTTAATACATGTAAAGCCCTTCTATATGTGCCTAGTGTATATATGAGTGTTAACTGTTATTGTTTGGTCCCTCAGTTATGTCCAAAACTTTTTCCTCTGGCTTTTCATATTTAGCACCCATTTTTTGCACGACCCAGGGCTAAATACTGTGGGAGCCGCAGATGTATAAACATTGTCTCCAGAACACGACAATGATAGGTAGAAAGAATATTCATTAAAAGGGAGGTGATAATTAAGTACTAAAAGAGATGCAAACTCTAGGTACTGTAATTCACCAGACCCTGTAATCACTGGGATATGGAGGTGAGGGAAAGCCGCACTGGGTAAGTGACAATTTTAGCTGGGAATTAAAGAGTAGCTATAATTTGTTAAATAGGGGGGAAAATGTTCAGTGTAGGCAAAGGCATGACTGCAGGAATGATCAGGATTTCATAGACCAGTCTGGCTGTAAAGAACTGGTTAGGAAGCAATGAAAGATTTTGAAAAACCTTGACTCTCAGCTATCGGGGTTTGAAAGTTGCAGTATGAGAGATGGAGAGCCATTGAAAGTTTTCAAGCAAGAGAGACAAATGATTAAAGCAAGGGGATTGTTTTAGATTCCCTATGTAGCGTGATCTAGAGAGGAGAGCTTGATTCAGGGAGACCAAACAGGATGTACTAGCAAAGCCTAGGAGTGAAGTGAAAAGGGGCTGAATCAGAATGGTTGCGCTGGGAGTAGAAAGAAAATCCTGAGAGCACCACAAAGGAAGAGTCAGTAGGACTTCCTAAGTGACCGACTAGAGCTGGAGGGTGGGATGTGCAGGAAAAGAGAAAAATCAAATTGGATTCAAAAGTTTCTGTCCTGGGTGATGAGGAGAGTGATGGTGGTAGAACAGGGGGAAGTACAGCAGCTGGGAAGGAGAGCCCGTTTGCGGGAGACAGTTCAGTTGTAGGTGCCTTTTCTTGATGAGCGTAAGGCACGCAGAAGGCTTCTGGTTAGGTGGAAATTTCCACTAGGCAGAGGAGCAGACAGGTATCCGAGCTATTTCTGACTGCCCTGAAAAATAGGTAACTTGTTGCTGAATTAAGTACTAAAAGAGATGCAAACTCTAGGTACTGTAATTCATCAGAACCTGTAATCACTGGGATATGGAGGTCATATCCATATTTCTGCTTAGTTGTTTATCATTTTCTCTTTGGGCGTTTCCCTATGCACTGTCTCTGAGAGATCTTTCCATATTAGTCCCTCTCAATTCTAATTGCCCTTCTAACAACTGGAGAGATCTCAACAGCGGGCACTGAGCGAAGTGTGGGAGTGTGCGCCGCAGGGCCGTTTGGTCCCAGGGTGGCACTGCTCCAAAGCTTCTCCTTGAACTCTGGCTTTTGTAACCCGGCGGGTCGTCCAGTGGGCTTCCCGGTATTTGACTAAAGGGAAAGATTCAAAGTCATCCAGAGAGTTAGTGGTTGAAACTGAACCTCAGGCATTTAACAGCTTTTTTTAAACACATGTAATTTATGGATACATTCTCCGTGTTTAAAAAAAGAAAAAAGGCACAGACGTATATAGGAAAAAATGTGGAAATCCCTCTCCACCCTGCCTACCGCCCATAAGATAGCTCCTGTTACCATTTTGGTGTGTGTCCTGCCTTCCAGTCTCTTCCCTTTGCACTTCCCCCCAGGGAGATAGTACATTACTCCTTGCTCGGTGATTTGTGCGTTTCCCTAGGCACTGTCTCTGAGAGATCTTTCCATATTAGTCCCTCTCAATTCTAATTGCCCTTCTCCTTCTAACAACTGGAGAGATCTCAACAGCGGGCCCTGAGCCAAGTATTTGCTATATAAAGAAATCATAGTGTTCCTTTATATTTATTGTTGATGATAAATTTTTGCCATTTTTTCTGTTTAGTTGTTTATCGTTTTCTCTTTGGAAGGAGTCATTTGAGATACCTAGGTGATTTTAGGAAAAAATACTTACTTTCAAGGTAGTTAACTGGCATTATCTGCCCGAGAAGTTGGACAGATAGGAAGTTCAGGTTCTGAGGAGATGCCTTGTTGTTTGTGCCCCGTGTTGTATCTTTATTAGCTGTGCAAACTGGGAAGCTGATGGCTGTGGACACTAGAAAGCTGGTATTTTCTGCATTTGAATATTCCCCTAGTTGCCATGATAAGGTTGCCATGATTCTTTTGCTTATTCTGTTCATTCTTTTCCTACCTATTCAAGGATATGCACTGTGTTTCTTCACAGAAATTTCCAAGGAAACTCTATCTCTTACGTTGAAGAAAATACATGGAAGTCATACACTTGGGTTGAGAAACTGTGAGTATATTCTCTCCAAATATGAACACAAAAAACTAACTGCAATGTGAGATGTTTCTTGGTCCAGAGTTTTGGGGTTAGTAGTTCTGAGAAAAGGTATTCTCCCTTTCCATATCTCAAATCTGTTGGCCTCCTCCCAGTCTCCGACCCGCTGACAAAGGAGGCGACCCAAGATATCAAAGACCTGAGTGGGCCAGCCAGGGGACTCTAGGCATACCAGCTCAAGAGTGGTGCTAGAAAGGCACCTCTCATATTTATTGATCAGGCATCACATTCTTGAGTGGGTTAACAAGTTTCTAGACACAATGATTAACATGCTTTACTACAGGAGTGTAACTGCCTCCAGGTCGCCGGGGCAAGTTTTCCCTGGCGCCAGGCAATGAGGGGGTAGAGATAACAAGAAACAGATCTCGGTTTAGATTTAGTGAGCTGTGGCATGCACCACAGATAACAAGGAAGGCAAACAATTCCCATAGAAACAGAATGATCTATGGATGGCAACCTACATTTCCACCATTTTTAAATTAAAAAGGAAGAGAAGTTCATTATTCCACTGCAGCTTGGTAAAGAAAAGGGGCGACAAGAAATGCCTCATCAGGGGGGGCAAGGTGCTAAGCCACGCCTCAGTTGACCCCCTCATCTCTCGACCTGTTGGCCCCCACGACTGTGCCTGTCTTAGGTTGTTCCTCCCGTGAGGAATCTTACCCATCTCTGGCTAGCCAGCCATCTCTTGGGGCCATACAGGGAGTAAATGCGATAGAGCAAAGAGGCATACAAAACATTTATGCAAACACTTTGTCATCCCCTTAATTGCTGCGGAATTTAAAAAAAAAACAGTGATCTGTCACATGGACTCTCAAGAAAATAGCATGCAATTATTAATTTTTTGCTATGGCTTCTTGAAATATAGCATATGCATGAATTGGCTTTATTAAGCCAGCAATCAAATGGCACACCCATGTTACTAAAATGGGAAGACATGCATAAAAGAAGTAGGCCTACAAGTATGGGCTATAGCCAGTGAAATCAAGAGAACCAATCAGATAATCCAGGTAATTGTGAAAACTTATCAATAATGTGGTGAATATCATTCAACTGGTTTTGAATTGTCTGTGAAAAATGAAGATGTTAAAACAATACATTCCAGGAAATTGTTCACAGCCCAAATGTTCTTTCAGCAACAAATAGTCCATGGTAGCACATTCTGAACCACTGCCACTAGAACTTCTCCAAGTTCCTGATTAAGTTCTGACAGTATGGAAGCAGTCAGATCTGCAGTCTTGCTGTAGGCACAGGCCAGCTTAGATATTTCCTTCTGCATTCCTACAACAAGTCCTGGTACAGGCAATACAAACGCAGCTGCAACTGCAATGGCAACAGGGTCCAACAATTTCAAGTTGTCATCACAATCTGGAGGCAGGGCTAGGGTCACTCTTTGGTGTTTAAATCCAGGATGATCTATAAGGGCTGGGAGAATGCATCCTATACCACAAAAACCTTGATAATGTGAGGAAAAGGCATGGTAGGTTTTGTTATCACACAAAAACACCCAGCCATTTGGGAGTCTATATCCATATGGCCATTTTACATGAATAGTAGAATTACAGTAAGAAGGGTATATTAGTACAATTGATACATATACAACTAGAAACTATAGTGGTGCTAACTGGTAAATTCAACTGAATTTCTCGAGTAAGAATCTTGGGGGCTAAAGTAATATTTATTCCAGAAATATTAGTAAACACTGAAAAAGGGAGTCCTATGACTATCAAATTCTTCCTTAAGATTCCACCAATAGAGGAATCACCTGCTACACAAAAAGATGTCTTGTTAAGCCCGTTATTAGCCAATTGCAACCACATATTGGGTGAAGAATACTCATTCTCTGGGGTTAGTGAAATGTCCAAATAAACATAACTACTTTTATATATTTGATCAGGGTTTCCCTTCTGGAATTTTTCACAAGAATAATTGCCAATATCATTTCAGGTTAAAACTATTTTATAAATATAGCGGGCATTGTCTCTTTTAGACTGATCAGTAGCATTATCTCAACTAAGTTTTCCTCCATCTTTCTGTCTATATATTTCATTACCATCCTTTTTCCAAATCACTGGGCCTACAGAAATTGAACAAGTGGAAATACAATGAAGTACTACTCCCCGGCCGAAGTACGGAGGACTGCTAATACTAGCAGTAATAGTACAGGCCTGGGTTATGTATATGTGTATAGAGATTAGAATAAAAAACTTCATTATCATGTAGGGATCCTCACTCCAGTGAGGGAACTGGTTGAGGGACATCACCTGGGACAGCCATCTCAGATGGCGATGTTGCTGGGAGTTCCTCTTTATAGCGTATCTTGATCCACTTTCTAGGCAGCCAGATCAAGCGTTAGCGGGTCCTCTATAATGACACAAACAAACCCTTTCCCCCACACCTTAATATGGCCTTTATACCATTGTGAAGAACCTATTGGAGACCACCATACAGGAACTGCTATTGTTTTAGAAAAAGAAATGTCAGAAAAATGCACTTCCATAGCTGATTGTCTGTCAC